AAAGTCATACTGGTTAGGTATATGCATGCATGTGCAGGATAGGTGGGGGTGGAAGGGGTGAGGGAGGGGGTGAGAGGGGATTTGAAAATTTTCTAACAAGGAATTTTGTATTTTTCAATTTGAGTCGTCGTTGATGATGCCATTGAAAATTTCTAATCATTGAGCCATTCGTTTTCTGCCACATTTACATCTTAGTATATGAGTTGTGGTCTTATTAGGGAATTATAAAAACTTTATCAATTCGTCCTTACATTTAGTTATTGAATATTTCTAATTTAACAGCTATTCTTAGGAAATATGCTTTGGAAATATTCTATGTATCGAGGAGAAAGATCTACTTTCACAACTTGCGATACTTTTCGAAATACACTTGTTATAGAATTTCAAATTTTCCAATTTACTATGTAATTATTTTACAAGATATTAAATATAAAGATAAAGTTTAAAATTAAAAGTTGTCATGATATTACTTTGGTCTTTAATACATAATGATTAACAACTTGAGTGAAAAGTATTGTCCACATTATTGACAGCAACAAGCTTTTGTTACATATATATATATATATATATATATATATATATTTGCTCAATTTTGTGACCTGTTAATCAACAGCATTACATATGTCAATTATTTTATAAATGCAAATATTCACAAGCTTGTGAAAAAAATCATATTTATTACTATTGCTCCCTTTATGCTTGTATATATATGTGATTGTATATTAGAATGATAATACAGACTTATAATTACAAATATTTGAAGTTATTTAAAATAATTGTAAATAAGTTTTTACATCTAAATTCTAATAAATTGTATTTTTGCAAACGTAATTATCAATTATTCACTTTTTTAAATTTTTTAATTTTTTTAATTTTTTTAATTAGACTTTCTCATTATTAATTTTGAAAACTGAAATTCATTCGTCTCAGTTTTAGTTAGCAATATAATAATAATATTTAAAATAGTTAAATATCTTGTAAAATTCAAATTGACAAAATCTTTTATATTTGAATTAACTATTTATAAAACTTGAAAGAAATTATATTTTGAGATGACATTTTCAGTGACATTTTATTCATAAATGTTTACATTTTTAATAAGAGATATTATATTATTTTGTTGTCTTAATGAAACATTAGTTGCGCGAAATTCTAACAAAAGTTCTAAATGTTACATTACATTTTTATATGTATTTAGTGGCATTTTGAGTTTAGTATTATTATTCATTCTGTTTGTCATTTCTAAAGAAGAAATATATTTTTATTAAGTTTTACAATTATTTTGTATTTTAACTAAGTGTGAAAACATTAATATTAATAAAGTACATTAATGCTGTTTTGTTTATTTGTAAGTATGGCAGTTAATAGTCAAACTTAAAAAATCTAATTCTATTGTATAGTCCGAAAGAGAATTTATTAAAACAAAAGTAATATAAAATGTTATATAATAAATTAAAATGTAAAATAGTAAAAAGTTATTTTTCCAATAATAGATGGAGTAAGATTCAAGTTGTAAAAAAAATTAATTAAAATTATAGCGAGACACGTTCCTTTGTAATGAATTTTTTAAGACTGTCTAATACAATGAGAAATTTTATTTTAATTCTAAAATAAATATATGCACAAAGTTTATATTAAATGTTAGACTACACTACACTACACTACACTACACACACACACACACACACACACACACACACACACACACACATCTTATTTAAATAAGATGTACACAAAGTATGTTCTAAGAAGCTTTGATGAATATACTTTAGATGAAGATTCTTCAAGAAATAATATTAATCAGAAGTTTTAAATATCAATAAATATGTAAATATAATTGTAGTTATTAAGTTTACGAAGAACGTAGTCACTAGTGATTCTAATTTATCAGCTTCCTTTCTTAAAATAGTGAAACTTTACTTCCAAGAAGATGCTTCAGGCATTTAGAACGTAGATACTTTCTTTAAATATTTATCAAAAGCAAATCAATGTATTCATTGTTATTTATTTAATAGTATAGTATTATTAAAAACATTTTATATTATATTCCATTACATGGAAAAGATACTTAATTTAGAAATAATATAAAAATCAATTAGAATTTATATTTTTATGTAATAATTAGATAATATTTAATGTGTTTATATGATAAACTGAATTCATTTTTAAAAGCTTTTTAAAGATCTTTTAATTTGAAATGTATCCAAGTTTTACAATAAATGCTAAAATTGCAATAAAATATTAGTTAAAAAAATTATGTAACACTATTAATTTACTATTAATGGCTAATACACAGAACAGTTTTTTTTTTTGTAAAATACTCAGGAAGAATTTATTAAGCAAATAATATTTTTATATAAAATGCGTAAAAATTTTTATAATTATTAACACACAAAATTACTACTAAGGAAGAAGATAAATGCTATTTCATTATAATATAGATAATAAGTAAGACATATAATTTATACATTTATATTTTAAAAACTATAAATTTCTTTGACAAATACATTCTTAAAAATGTTGTAAAAAATGACTTTTAATGACGATACGAATAACAATCATTTGTTTTATGAATAAAGAATGTCAGAGTTCCGTTATTAAACTACGACGATTAGTCTCTGAATTGCGAGTTTTTCTTCTTATCTAACGTAAAGTGTAATTTTTATGAGTCATAATAATTTATCTGTCAACAAATATTTGTAACAGTACGATAAAGCATTTTCTATTGGCATTAAAACTTATGCTAATATTATAAATTTATACCAGTAAGTCTTATAAAACTATGAGATTATTTATATTGATTTTGTTTCTTTAGTAAATACTGTTTATTTTTCTACCGCTTTAAAGAATAACCAGTGACCTTAGTTTGATTCATAAAGTGTTTTGTTAACTTCACTAATAAAAATTATTTATATCGTCAGTTTTATTAGGATAATAATGTATATTTAAAAAGTATTTTTAATTAAGGTAACATTTATTAATGTACCAGATTGTTATTTTTGGTCATATTCTAATAGATTATCTAAAATAGTTGACAATGTATTGGAAAAATGCATATTTTATGCATATGTTTTTGCACAACATTTCAAGTTTAAAATAGAAAACAATTTTTTGTAAAATTTACAATATTAATTAGGATGAATAAAATGTTATAGTAATAACATGGCAATAAGAATTTTTTTTTATCTATCATATAAAAAACCCTTATAAGCTTATGATCATGCGATTTTAGAAAGTTGACTCTATATTTTATACTATTAATGCAAATTCTATAAAATTTTTAAGTTACCAATATAAACAAAAATTACAAATTTCAATTACTATAACACCAGAAGCTTAGAAACCTTCATTAAATCTGATTACAATTTTATAAATATTGGAAATATTTGTGTAATTTCATATTTCTTAAATTCCATTCCAAAGTCCTGTAAACGTATACAACATAAGCTATGAATAGCACTGTTAATACTACAGGAAAATTAAAATTTACTAAATATTTTGTACTGTTTATCTCTGGAAAAACGATATCATTGTATGCATAAGTATACATATGCCAAACTTATACATTCAAACGATTATATAACATCAGAAATATCTTATATTGTAGTCGTTCATTATTTTAAGCCTTTTCTCTTAAAATCTAAAAGAAAGATTGAAAAAAAAAAAACAAGAAAAATGTATTTTAAATGTGCCGCTTCAGTCTCAAATGTAGTTCAGGAAAGGTTCGTTTATGTATGAAGGAATCCCTATGTATTCATTGCGAAATTGACCATCCACTATGCAAGGCTACAAAGCCCAATGTGTGAGAATGGGGAAGCCTTATGTATCGGCTCTTATGGATTTTTCCAAATAAAACAATTAAAAATATGGTACTTCGACTAAGTTTATTGCACGTACGAGTTTAGTTTGAAATTCTCTTTTAACCTAATGATCGAAAAGAACAACGGATTTATGAAATTAATTTAGAAGAATTTACATTCCGATTAATGATTTATACTTTATGTTATTAATTTCTAATATTATTACATTATTATTTTAGGAAGCATTAATCGGGTTGTACTTGTATGACTGCTGCTTATATATAAATATACTAGGAATATATTATAAAGTATCGATTGCTTTTTCAGTACGATTACGAATATAGTCGTTCTTATCGCATCCAGTGACTGTGAAGTCTCGTTAATATTCTGTTAATATAAAGACAATTTCGGAAAAATTATAAAATCATTTATTCCTCTCATCTATCTACAAACTTGACATCGTAAAATATTACTATATTGCTCACTACGATTTTTCGAGTATGACCTTTGGTACAATAACCAGCCCCCCATTAGCAAAATGCATTATCTTAGAATTCGTAATCTCGGTCGGTTGAGAGCGTAACTGTCAACTCGTTTGCAATAAAATCGAAGGAAACAAGTAGAAAGGAAGCAAAAGAGCGAGTGAGTGAGCATTTATGTGTCTCGTTTGTTTGTTTTGTATGCGTGCGCACGCTTCTTTGCGCAGGTATGTGTGTGTGTGGAAGAGAGAGAGAGAGAGAGAGAGAGAGAGAGAGAGAGAGAGAGAGAGAGAGGGGGGGATGCGCACTCGAGGTGGTGTTCAAGATTCGTTTAGAGTTTCGTGGAAGGTCGCGTAAACGTTGGTGGACTGGCTAACGTGTCGAAGGCAATAGAAGAGAGTGGATGGCAAGTGTAGTAGGATTGGGAAGTAAGAGAGAAAGGACGTGTGCGCCTCGGCGGCAATTTGCAGCCCCCGCTGACGCGCGTGTTCGGGGGATGTGGATTGATTTTCCTTTTCTGCCGAGGCCACGATGCTGCTGCTGCCGCTGCTTCTGCTTCTTCTGCCATTGCTATCGACCTGTACGGCCGCGATAGTCACGCGACTCTCCTACCACCCACTCACCCTCTCAACCTCTTTCTTTCTCTCCCTCACTCTCTCTCTCTCTCTCTCTCTCTCTCTCTCTCTCTCTCCCTTACTCTCGATCTTCCCTACTACTACCGTCAACCGCCGCTGCCACTACCGCCGCCACCGCCGCTGCCGCTGCCACTGCCACTGCCACCACCGCTACCGCCACCGCCACCGCCACCGCCACCGCCACCGCCACCGCCACAGCCACCCCTAACTTTTTCCTCGCATATATGAGGGAGCGCGCGCGCACAGCAGCCACCCCCTCGGCCATTCTTTCCGCGCAACCCTGTGCCGTTGTCCTTCTCTCCGCTGTCTTTTCCCACGAGTACACTTTCGCCCTTCGATTCCCAGCCGCGTGTATTTATGTACGTACGTCCCTTGACGCCCAAAAATGGAGCTTCGATCTTAACCATCTAGCCCTCGCGACCTTATCGCCCGCCCTGAAATATGCTCCCCTTTCTTTAGGTGCGGAATAGCGGGCGGGGAAGGGCAAAGGGGAGTTTGTGGGTCGAGTCGTGATCACGCTGTAATTTTGCTCTTAAGCTCGATTCCTCGCGAGTCGAGTAGCATGATACATCATCACTCGCGTCCAATGTCTTAAAAAATAAATCTTTAACGCGGTGAGGCGAGGCCAACGTGTTGAAGTGAAAATATTCCGAGGCTAAATGAATAATCGTTCGGTGATATTAGATTACAGAGTCGTTATATGGACGTACACTGCGATATTATGCCTTTCGATTGGAAACTTTCGATCTATGAGCTCTTCGCAGTCTCGTATATTTTTTTATTTGATGGACTTCTTTTAATTCAATAAAAGTGCCCGTTTAATTTCGCAGTCTTAAGTAGAATTTGTACAGTCGAGGAAATACGTCTTCTTTGACAAATAATTACATAGGGGTTGTCGCCCATTGCATAGTTTTAATGCAAATTAAAAATTTAATTAATCGATTACCGAATCTTTACTAATTAATTATTGAATTACCTTAGTAAGTCATCAATTACCGAAGTTCTGTTGTTCCGAAGATGGCGCATTCGAAAACCATGAAAGCCTCGATAGTTTTAGCTCACAGTCACGAAGCAATAAATATTAATCGATAGTAAATCACAACGGAGCATAAATTTCATCATCTTTAATATTGTTAATCCTTTCCAATTTCTCTCCAAAAAAATATCTTATCTGTTATCTTGAATACGGGGCATTTTTTAGAAGACGAATGGACACAAAAATTAACTACTATTAATATTTAAAATATTTAAGCATTTTCTTTTTTACAAAACATGCATCACTTAGCCGACAGAAATATTTAGTGCACAAATACGATTTGGCAAAATTAAAATGACAAATTTGAAAAATTTAAGAGAAGAATTTGGACGTCTTATACAGGACAAAAAGTTTGCATTTTGCATTGCTGTTTAAAGGAACAACAAATTTTAAATATATAAAGTTACAAGCTACTAAAAGTTCTTAAAGTTTGTGCAATATTGTATAGTTGTTATTAAAAAATTTCATCGCTTTATCATCATCATCATCATAAAGAAACAAAAACTAAACATAATTTATATATACCACTTTACTAAGTAAAAGTATTTACCGATACTCTTCATTCATTCCAAAAAGTTGAAGGCGTTGAAAGTATAATACATTCGCTTTGAACTACTAACCTTTTCATATGTCCTTTTAATTAAGTTATTTATCATGTCAATGAAAAAATAAACTTTTCCAATTGTCAGATTGTTCATACAGAGTAAAATTGCTTTCGAATGTTTCAAATTTTGAAGTTTCGACAGTGCTAACGAAACAAGTCTATTTACCATTCTTACAGTGAAACTATTTTTATAATAAATATTCATAATAGAATTTTATCTACGGATACTCAGAATTTGTCGTCAAAAACTTATTTTGCAATATTAACAATTTATTGGTATTCTTTTATAAATTGTAAGTTGTAAATAGAAATATTTTGGACGTATATATTTGTGATATTTTTATTATATTTTTTGTATATACCAGTATTAAATACATAGATCCATCAAATAATCTATTCCTATGATCAAGCATTTTTATGTAATTTTTGAATTCTTAATGTTCGTTTACGATAGTATATAAATAGGTAGGTAATCGTTGTATTATAAATCACTTTTTAGACTATGCCAGGGAACCTGTAAACTTTTAATTTGTTGCTCTAATGCACGATACACTATGGCATTTACTAACGATAAAATAAATTTTTTCTAGTTGCATTGTAAATTAATTACCCATTAGGATTTTCAAGAAAAGTTTAAAATAATCCTTAAACATTGTTATAAGTCATATTCTATTATCTAAAAATATAAGAGAAAATTTAATTGCCTGTGATAGTACTAAGTATATTATATATATATTAGAGATATATTATTTAATATAAAAAAAAAAATATTTCATTGCTTTTTACATTATTTTAAGAAAAAATTTTCTAATAATAACGTCTAATATATATATATATATATATATAGAATCGTGCATTCAAATGCTAAATGCAATCCTATAAATGCAATTAAATTATGGTTATTTTTTGGTATTTTTTTGTTATTTGAATTACAAATGTATATCACTTCAAAATATTGCACGATAAACAATTTGTATGAATGAGAATAAAAAAAGGTTTTTAAGCGATTGATTGGTATTACCGAACGGAAGATTTGCAGAATTTTCTCGATTTAAAAAATTATTTATCGATATGCTAAACACTTACCAATAGACAAAGTATAGAAAAAATATGAATTTATTTTAAAAATCATGTCTAATTTACCGTTGAAAATAAAAATTATTTTTTTGCTAATGCTGCTTTTTTGCGCAGTCGAAAGATAAAAAAATAATGTGAAATAAAAGAATATGTATTAGCACATTTTATATATCTATTGTGTGGGAATATAAATTAGTTTGTCTTGTTAATTTTTCACGCTCAATCAATAACTTATGCAGCGCAAGAATTTTGAATAATTAACTGGGGCAACTCAACATAATATCCTTTTATTAAGCATACTCTGTGCTTGTCTGAATGATGCTTTTTGCTCAGTTTTACCCGTTATCTTTAATATTTATTAACTATTACAAAAAGAAAGAAAAAAAAAGAAAAAAAAAGTGGTATTACTAATACTAATTGTTTTTAATTCTTTATTTAATCTATTTTAATTATTGGGATATATAAAGGATGTTTTATCGATCTTGTGAATGTGTTTATTATACTTGCATGTTTTCGTTGTTGAAGATCGATATAATTGGATATATAATTGGAACGTTATATTTTTTTATTATTATATGTTAGAAAACAAAAATACACGTATCAATCATGGAATAGTTAATGAAATATACGTTTCATATTTTATTAAATTTTTATTAAATGTTCAGTGACGGATGTAAATAATCTTGTAACACGAAGTATTTCATATTTAATCTGTCGAATTAGCGCAAACTTACTATTCCAACTATACCTGACAATGTGTTAATGCAAAAAGTGTGCTAATTATAATTCAAGCACGACTGTTTCATTTTAATTGAATAATTTCGATTTGCGTATCTACGTAAATTGGTCCATAAGATATACACCTACGTGCGTACGATGAAGATAAAGGGATAGAGTGAAAGCGGGAGAGAGTGAGAGAGAGAGAGAGAGAGAGAGAGAGAGAGAGGCGAGATAGCGGATGGAGAGAAAAAATTACAAAAGCGTGACTATATACACTTCAAATAACTTTTGAATAAACAAACTGAGAAATGAAGAGCGCCTACAAGTGTGTACTTACTTGTGCATGTCGCGCGTGTGTTTCATATATGTGCATGCGCGCACGAGATGAGTGGGGCTCGGGGCGGGGTCGGGAGGGGGCGGGAGCGAAGAGAGAAGAAGCCATTTACTGCTCCAAAGTGATTCAAGGTGGCCAACTTCTGGCTACACAAGTTAATGAAGGCAAAATCGCTTTCGTTACTCGCATAAGAACAGCTCGTTGTTTAAAGTTCATCGTATGTTTCTCTCTTCCTTGGCAGCTACCACACACTACATATATTATAACCTAAAACGACCGAACCATTATTATATGTTCATAATATACGTATATATGCACACGAGTGTGTCTATATAAATACAATTTCGTTTGAGCAGCTTGAGTAGCTATCGTTAACGTTGCATTTATTATTCATTTATAAGACGATGTTTCTCTTATTTTGATTTATTTGAAAACAGCACTTTATGGATTTTCGAGGTCAGTAATTAGGAAGTCAACGTTTTGCGTTTATTAATGCGAATTTGTCCCGGAATATAATATGAATAGTAAATTTTAGAAGTTTTTTTTTTTTTTTTTTTTTTTTTTTTTTTTTTTAATACTATAGAAATAAATTTAATTTTTTAATATTTCTATTGAGTAAGAAATAAAATAAAATCTTTAATTGATGAGAAATTATAGATTTGCAAAAAGTAAAGTCAAAGTATGAATACCGAATTTAAGAAAGGATAAGATAAAAAGAGAAACGAAAAAATTTAGCAAGTGTAATTTTAGTGTAAAGTAAAATCCTCTAGAAATCTTGAACAAGATTTAGAAACACTTTAGAAATTTAGAAAATAATAGATAAATTGGTTTAACGTTAATTTGTCTTGTATAAGATCTATGAATCTTCATTATGCATTGTGTAGGAAATTGTGTTGTTGTGTTTTTTATTACTTAATTCAAAGCTATTCAATTAAATGCTGATCTATATCTTTTCAAACCGGATAGCTTAATTTCAATATATGTGATTTAATTTCATATCAATTGCTCTTATAATTTAGTTTAAGTTAACGTATTTGAAAATTTATAAAATCAAATGGATTGTTATGGACTTATGTAAAGCTTATGTTCGAGATATTTGCATAATATTATGGAAAATATAAATCTGTAATACGTTTTGAAAAACTAAGACAAATAATAGGAGCTTATAATTTTAATATTATAATAGGCAAATACGAGAATTTGTAGATTATTCAATGGACAAAATTTCCAGGGTCATTGCCAATGATACATTTTAGCAGTAAAATAATGAAATAATTAATTTTAAATTGAAATTACAAAATAAATTTTAGTTATTTAGCTACTTGCAATTCTTGATTCATACAATATATCGGTGTACCTTAGAATTTTATTAATTCATATTGTCGTATCGTGTTATTTTATAATGTAGATAACCTAATATTTAACTGTAAAAATAATTTATAATTTAACATTGATAGTTAATAAGTTCAAGTAATATGCACCTTAACAAAGGAAATCAAAAAGGAAATTCCTCATCTATTAATATATCTCTTCTTTCAAATGTATTCACTAGTACTTTAGATTAAGTAATAATAAAATAGAAAAAGTAAATAGATTATAATGTACGTATATTACTTTTACACACTATTATATGCAC